GGTGAAGAAGCGGCTGACGCTCGCTGCCCTCCTCTACCTCCTCTTCATGACGGGGGAGCTCATAGGTGAGTCAGCCGGGGGAGGTTTTTTTTTGTTTTTTAGCCGCGGTCTTCAATATTTACTAAGATAAACCATCTGTTACTCAGAGAGAGTGGGGAGATCAGCTGCACGTTCACAGAGGGAGAAGGAGCAAAGTCCGCCTGTATTTTCCATGCAGGAAAAAAGAAAAACGGAATTTGCAGCTTCTCTTACCTGAATCTCATAAATTCTCCCAAATGGCATAAAAATATGCTTTTCTTTTTTGTATGTCTAATGGCTTTTTATTTCTCTTGTTTTGTAACTTTGTTAGCTGTTTTGAGCTAGGGAGAAACTGCATTTTATTTCAGACATAAATAAAAAGATAAACAATTTAATCCTGAGTATTTTTTCATTACTGCCATAAAATCTCGCTGTGTTTGCAGCAAGCGAAGAAGAGTGAAGTACAGTTTTTAAGTGTGACATCTACCATCATAACAAAACTAGTATTTTGGGTATTTGTCCTTGTTCACCAGATACAGCTGTACACCTGAAAAGACAAATCCTGAGCTCTCAGTAACAGCCCAGTGAAGAAGCCACTCTTCTGGACAACTTCCCGATGTCCTACTGTGCTCTGGACTAGCATATGCTTCATCCAGACATAAGTGTTATGAGCAAAGTCTATTAAAATAATAGGTATTTTAACACTTCCCATTACAATGCATAAGAATACCAAGTAGGTTGATTAAATTCTTTGTGGTTGGTTGGTTTGTTAGTACTTGGCAGAAATATGCTGGGTTTTTAGTTGGATATTAGTTCCTATATAAGTGTCTGATTGTTGTTGGTCAGAAGAATTAATCTGGTGCTCAAATGCAGCCTTTACTGCTCCTGCATAAAGGCACAGTATCGTTTGCTGTTCACGTTGAAGAGAACCCGTGTCTTACACAGCTGTCTCTACAAAATGACAGTGCTTTATTTAATAGCCTATAGTGGTGTAGGCTTGAAATAAAATTAAATTTGAAAGTCCCCTGGATGCAGAGATGAGCTATTAAGTGTTATGCCCTTGCCAGTATTTACCTTTTAATCTCTGTTCACTTATCAATTCAATATCCATGTGCTGTTACCATCTGTAAAAGCTTCAACTCTCTCATCCACTTTCCTCCATTTGAGGTAGTGGGGAGCACTACACAGTGCCAGTACATCAATGTGTATGTTGAGCCGGGTCTCTCTAGCAACTATAACAATTAATTGCTTTTACATTGCTTTCATTTTAACATACAAGTCTAAATCAGATCCAATCAGATGAATTATTGGCCATAATTCTCCAGAAAAAAAAAGAAATCAAGTCACAAAAACTTTCTGGAGGTAAAGAACAGAGATGCCCCAGGTATAGTAACGTGGGACCTACATCCTGTTCCTCACCTGTACAAATCTGGTCAGTAATGACTGAAGATCTGATGTTTGTTTATGTAAAGTGAGCTCGTGCTCTTGGATCACTCTTGGATCCTGGGACAGTTGTGAATTGTACGTTTAAGACAGAAACTTCTGCAAAATGGACAGGGAAAGGTACCATTCCTCAAGTATAAATAGTACAGTTTGTCCCACGTGTGTAGAAAAAAATCCTTAGGATAAATGGTTGTTTTTCAGAGACAGACCAGAACACTGACTGTATCTGCACCAGCTTTATTTGGGGCCCTATTTCAGGAACATGGGTTAATGACAGAACGGTTTGTCCTTCAACATCTCTCCGTGTGGTGTTAGTCATGACACTGCCGCAATACATCAGCTCATCACGGAGAAGGTGCTTCACATCAGACCTGTTGCAGGGATCTGGTTGAATGCCTCCATTTGCCCCTGGCTCCATTTATTTCTTCCCTTTAGCTGAGACTTTGTTTCAGCATGATCTCAGGTGGATTTGATCAGCAGCACGGTGTTATATCTCAGACACAGACATCCTTTAACATGAGAGTCGTTCTATTTGACTCGTCTATCAAAGTTCTGATAGACACTGACTTTAGTTCATCTGAAGGGTCCCTTACTGAACAGTGAGTCTGTTTGCAACTTGATGCCAGTCACTAAGAATGTGTCTGCTGGGGGCTTCAGATACGACTCGTCTGTTGTAGACCCCTCCATGGCTACTGCAGAGAGAGCTCTAGAAATAATAGGTGTTGAGAGTGAAAATACTCTGTTATCATTGCCTCATCATCTGTTGTTTCTCCCTTACAGCCAGGACTTCTGTTTAATTCATTTACTCCAGCCCTGTATTGTGTTCTGTCTGGTTGGTTTCAGATTTTTGAACTTTTTGAATTAATCTGTAGCTCAGGTATTTGGGAAACTTTTTTTCATCATATAGACATTTAACTGACTTTCTTCTATATCTTTGACAGATAAGAGTTTCTCAGAAAAAGGCAGAAGATCCTATCAGACAATTAATTTGTTCAGTAAAAATCCTTTTGCTGTCTATCACTGCTGTCAAGATGGAAGAAATTTTGTTTCAGCAGCTTTTTTGGGAAATCTTGATTGGCATATTTTTCCAAATTATAGCCAAGCTCATTACCCCAGCCCACCTCAGTTTTTGTTGTTTAATTTGATGAACAGTCATTGTAAAAGTCAGATAACAACTTCCATTTTGTGGGAATCATTTTGGATTAAGAAATGGAAAACATACTGCAGGTCCTGGTTAGCTTTTCTGACAGGGTTTTGATCTTTTCAGCTACGTTTAGAGACTTGTAATTGATCGTCCATGAGGAGCACTGCTGTCATTCGTAGGTCACTGAAAACAGCGGTTGGCCATCGAGCTGTCTGTTTGTAAAGGTTATAGGCGTCGTTTTTGTTTTTCTTCCAGGTTGCCAATAGTGTTTAAACAACCCTTAGGCACTACCTTTAACCAAGCAATGAGCCAATACATTTGGAGACAGAGAACCTTTGATTTCAGAATGTCATAAATCTCAGTTATGTTTTCGTAATCCGCATGCTGCATTACAGTTAGCTTCAATACCTGAATTACCTTTGTCGTTTAATTTTAAAAGTCTTTAAGTGAGAGACTAGTGGAAATAAAAGTGATTCTCAAAATTAATTATATGATTAATTATGACATTAATTAACATACATACTGTAAATGATCACACATACAAACTACTGCATTGAATGTCCTTAGATACAAATTATTATTTCTTCTGTGCTGAATAGAAGAGGCCGAGTTGCTTATTTCTAAGTCATATTTTTTGAAATTATATGAGAACACAATTCAGAAAGGAAAGACAACTCATTTTACTCAAAAAGCTGCTGAATTGTTAAATCTTAAAAACTCCTTACTTTTGAGCTCTGATGCCCTTTGGAAAATGTCAGCCTCAGAAGAATTTGACATAGAAACTCAGGAACAACTGAAGAACTGGGGATGGAGGAAGGGAACTGGTTGAAATGTGGTGTATTTGGCAGTTACCCACAGCAAAAGCAATAGTGCAGTATCAGCCATGCTGCTTGTTTGGCTGGGGAGGAGAGCGTAGCGCTGTCTGCAGGTGTGTGCCTACCCACGGCCGTACACACAGGTGTGTTTCATGCCTGGTCTTGAAAGCAATCAGCGAGTTGTGAATTTCCCGTCGCTGTTTCCTCATGGTCAGCCTCTGCACTAAGACAGTTTTAATCGTATACAAAGGTAACTTTACTCGCAATGTTAGTTGGAGCCTCAAGCCTGCCACATGGCACACCAGCTGCGCGCTTTGCTCGGCAGAATTTGCAGGCTGAGTAACAGTCTCGAGGTAAAAAGAGAAACCAAATCATAGCCGAGCTGACACTAAAGATGGGATCTCCTCTGAGAAATTGGGCTTACCTTATGGAGGACAATGGAGCCTGTCCTTGATTCCCCTTTGGATAAGAGATGCTTAAGAGAGAGGCACATTCTTTAAATCTCTCACTCATCCAATAGTACCATTAGCAATTTAATTGGAACAGAGATATTAACCTTTGACATGAGATTATTTGTCTCACTCAATGCAGCTCATAATTACAAGAAAGAAATGGCAATAACGAAGAATGCTGTGCAAGTGAAAGTCATTGCCTGCAATATATATTGGCAGAACTTACACACCCCTGACAGGACAGGGAATAATGAAGGTTAAAAATTAATGCAATAAAAATAAAAAGGAGGCAAGGTAAATTTCCTTGCCATTGAGGCATTGGATTTCTGTCCCTTTTCTGTGATGTCAAAATATTTAACAGTTTAGGTTTCATAAAAAGATCAGCTGATTAAACACATATGCGATGTTATACAGAGAAACATAAAACTATTTTGGGCCTGATCTTGCAAACAGTATGATGCAAGTAGTCTCTGTGAATTTTAACAGCAATAATAACAGGAATAATAAGAATAAATGAATCCTTTCTACGTTGCTCTTAATAGAAAGCATACTTCACTGCACCTGTAACTACGGTAGCTTGAAATTATAGCATGGCATTTGATTGTAATGGCAAAAAATCTCTTTAGTGATTGTAAGAAGGGCTCTCATGCACATAATGCACTGTTATGAAAATAAATGACTGTTAAGCTGTGCCAAGAGGATATAATCTAGAATCATTCATGTCATATGTCCTGACTTCTCCAACTTTGTTTTCAGGTGGATATGTTGCTAACAGTCTAGCAATTATGACAGATGCACTTCATATGTTAACTGACCTTAGTGGTATTATTTTGACCCTGCTTGCTCTCTGGCTGTCTGCAAAATCTCCCACAAAGAGGTTCACTTTTGGATTTCATCGCTTTGGTATGTAGATATCAACTTTTACTATTAACAGAGTATTTTGAGCAACAGCTGTAAAGATCACCTAATTCTAGAAGAATAGGTAACCAGAAAGAAAGTAGCAACAAACCTAAAAGTTGCTTTATGTTTAACGCCCTGACTGTAATGTCCTTTCACTGGCCACTGTGGATCCACTGCGTAGGTTGTATTGCATTGGGTCAGGTCCCTGCGTGCCTTCATGCTTTGGAGTTGAGGCTGGTGAGGAAAAGACGGACACATTCACTGGTCACTCCCTGCTGCACCGCTGCTACTGCTTGCGTGATACACAGGGGAGCTCTTGGTGCAGGAGCTGCACATCAGGCAGTTGTTCACAACTGCCTAGGATTTAGGAAGTCTCCTTGACTTCAGTAGAGTCACGACACTAGAATAAGTTCCTATTCAATGTGAGAAATGGCATTTAAATCCGGAACTAAAGAGTTCTGTGGAGTGTATTACCAGAGAGCTCTGCCTTGCCAGAAGCCACATAAATCAGTATTCCTCCCCAAACCACACAAAGCAGAGGTCAGAGTGTCCCAAGAAATACGGTACGTTGCTGAAACTCTCCCCATTTTAGGTGTCTGTAACAAGAAGTATAAACAGAATTATGTACTAAACCTTGGAAGGGTATTTTCAGGATTCATTACTTCATGTTTCGAAATGTAATGATGATAAAAGGTGCTTTCATGTGGCTGCCAACTGGATATAATAATCCGTAACACACATCTGCAGATCTTGTAGGCATTTTACCAAAACCTTCAACCTTTATTTTTCATGAAACAGATGATTTCTAGTGTCACAGTGCTCTATACCTTCTATGGCATATATTTTTCAAGGCATTTCAAAGTCTTGTGTAGTCATAATTTGAAATTCTTACTTTGGCTGCTAGAGCAGCAGTAGAATTCAACAACCTCATCACTCCTAGTCATTTGTCATCAGTTAGTCACTAGTGCATGAATGCATAACTCTGTACACTAGCAAAGATCCGTGGGGCTTTAGTGAGAAAGCATTGACAGTGCCAGCATTTCCCATTACAAACTTTTCTTTCAAGAGGTTTTAATTTTGTCATAGGAGCTCCCCTAATACAGAAACCTGACCTTGCAGGTATGCCCCTGGCATTCGCTCGTACTCTCCAGAAGGATGTTTGCTACCATTTATACATACCTGAACTCTGTTTAAAAATAATTTGAGTAGTTTATGCGTCTTTCTAATTTTTCTAAAGCCAAATAGTGCATACATTGAACCTGCCATGGCTTAGCTTAAAACAGGAGTTAATCTTAAGAAAAAATAAAAGAAATTTAACCATTGAAATCTTACTCAGTCCTGTAAATTTTCACTGCCTTTTCAATTAATCTGAGGGCTCCATAGCACTTTGCAAACACAAATCCCTAGGAGATTCCTGCCTCCTCAATTTCTGCTGGGTTTTTTTTCCCCTTATTTCTGTGAAGAAAAATACTGGCCGGACTGATCCAATGACCTGGCCTAGAGATTTAGTCTGTATCGCCCACCATCTTCTCCCTGGAAAAGGCAGGTTCTGCAACAATTATTCCTCCTTTTCTGCTGCCCAGTGCCAGGAAGCGGTCACACACTGCAACAGGTTGTGGAGTGTCCACGGTTGGAAATACGCAAAACCTGCTGCAGCTGACCCGGCTTGGAGCAGGGTTATACAGCTTCCAGGGGTTCCTTTCTGCCCCCACCCTCCTGCATGGGCAGCAGCAGCGCAGCATGTGCTGTGAGAGGAAGAGGACTGGAGCTTGGGACTGGGGGAAGAGTTTCTGTGGCTGCAGTGAGGAAGGGGAAGCGGGTAAAGGCCCTGCAAGAAGCCCCCAGGTCTTGACCAAGGCTCTGCAAATGCAGAAGATGGGATGGTTCAAAATTACTATACACAGTTTTTTAAATTAAACATTTGTGAAATTTATTTGCCTGATTTTAGGCACCCAGTCTGACCACTGTGGCCCGAGGGCCCAGTTTCGCACATGAGTGAAGTAGTGTAACAAAGAAGCTTCAAGGGTAAATCCTCGCTGTAAGGCATTTTTCCAAATAACCCATATGTAAGAAGCTTGCCAGCAAATAACATGAGCTCAACAATAGCTTGAATTTCATGAGAGATGTTTAAACATGACAGAATGTTAAAAATAGGGTATGGCATCTGTCACAGAAAAAAATGTGTAGTGTTTGTTTAAAGCTAGGAATATGTGCAAGATCTCATCACTGACGCTTTGCATTCAGTTTAAGATGATCTATACGTACAGCCAGCGTGAAAACATTCTAAGGAACTGTTTCTGGTGCTCATTATCACTTTTATTTGCAGGACGATGAATTTTCAAGCTCGATCCTGTAAACATTGCGTTGTAAAGACAGCAGACCCATTAGTTGTCTAGTCAGATTTCAAAAGGAAATTAGCACTAGTTTTCAGCTATTTCAGTTATCTTTGAATACTTAATAAGTGTACTCCATCTTCAGTTTTACTCCATTTTCAGTGGTGAAAAGGAAGCTGACAGATTCAGGAATGGGTTAGAAAAGTGAAGACAAAATAATGGCAACTGCAGTCGTGTCTGAAAAGGATTATATTCTTGAAGCCAAAAATAGTTCTGTTTCACCAGCAAGTGGAGATACCTCCTTCTCAGCAAGACACTGAGCAGATTTAAGCATAGATACGGAACCTGGCACTCTTCCATTGCTGCAGAGACAATGTTAGTAATGACAGAATCAGTCAGTCCACTGAGACAGGGCCCAGCTCATTTCACAAGAAGTGAAAGATCTCAAGCGCACATCTACAGCACTGACACGGCAGTGGCTCTGTGAAAGAAACTGCAAGAAAAACCCTGGCTTCCGCTGCAGGAGACTTGGTTTTAGACTGTAAAACCACAGTATGTTATTTCTCTGGTAAATGTTAATGTGCTATGGTTGCACAGTTTTTTTTGAAAAGCATTCTGGGAAACCTAAGCGTTGTATTTTTTTAGTTAGTTAGTTATTTTTTAAGCTGTCGCCCTGGATAATCCGGCTGCTTTGTAAATAACACTGCCACTTGCATGGATATTTCCAGGATTTTCCCATTGCTCTGAAATAATCTCAGATTGTGACTGTTGCCTGTCAGAGCTGTATTACTGCCTGGTAATGCCAGGCGTTGACACACAACCGAACAGCTGAATGCGTCGGTGTGAGTTTCTGCTCCCATAATGACGTTAAAAATTCACTGTATGGATCAAGTGATTTTGGTGATACTAAACTGCTTATATAGCTGCGTTTTTTTAAACTGTATTATTCAATAAATAAAATTAAGGCAGTTCTGTGCTAGAAGTGACATCTGCAGCAACCAGAGTTGTACTCCATAGACAGATTCAAAGCAGAGGGAGAAGTGAAGCACTTCCCAGATCACAGAATCCCAGACCGTTAGGGATTGGAAGGGACCTCAAAAGCTCACCCAGTCCAATCCCCTGCCGGAGCAGGAACACCCAGATGAGGTTACACAGGAAGGCGTCCAGGCGGGTTTTGAATGTCTGCAGAGAAGGAGACTCCACAACCTCTCTGGGCAGCCTGGGCCAGTGCTCTGTCACCCTCACTGAGAAGAAGTTTCTTCTCCAATTGAAGTGGAACCTCCTGTGTTCCAGTTTGTGTCCATTTGTGTTCCGTTGTGTCGTGCTTAAGAGCTATGTTACAGCCAAGAGCTGAATTTTTCCCTTACTGGGGAATAAATCAGGGGCAACATGTGTGGAACAAGGGGGAAGAACAATCATTGCAGTGCCAGCTCTGATCTTTGAATTCACCCAGGAATGCTAAGATCCCAGTGATCCATCTGGCGAGTGACAGGAATGAGCATTGCACGTAATGATTACAGATTATTCAGGCATGGCTGCGGATTTACAGGGAATACAATGGAGCTAGCATTAAGGTTTTCCCAGTGCTTTTTGTAAAGCCCTGTATTAACTTCTTTATAACTGAGACAGTCTTAACTGTGCCAGTGTTTTCTACGTCAGCTATCTTAGTATGTTTACGTTAAAAGTAATCTAGAGACCCTTTTGGAAATGCCTGTATTCTTTATAGTAGGATCTTAAAACTGTAGTGTGGACTCATCCTCCTCAGGTTTATGTATGTTATTGCCAGCCCAGTTTCATGACTTGGGTACCGAGGCAGACAGCACGAAGGTCCAGCCCCATAAAATATTCAGGCCTGTTCACTTCACATCAGAACAGCAGGAACCTTGTAGAGAGCTGTAACCACTTCCCGCAGATGTAAATGGCAGCAGAAGGTGCAGGACAATGAAATATTAGGAGTTTTTATTAACTTTCCATTTTTCTATATTTAAATGTATGTGTCCTTTTGAAAGTCCCTGCTGATCAGATAAAATTCCTACACCAAAACACTCTTACTTTTGTGAAATATGAGTATTTGGTAAACATTAGATAATGTTAAAAGAGTCAGTATATTACAGCAGTACAGAAACTTCCATTAAACAATCCTTCATAGCCGAAATCTGCAGTAATTAACACACGTGCACATATGTCAAGAAGCTTAGGAGTAACATGTCTGACAAGTTTGTACTGTTATGTTTCTTAATATTTTACTTTTTTTCTTCATCCGAAATACAAAAGGATATATAAAAGTAATTTCTAAATCCAGCTTAATACTATGGATACCTGAAATCAAGCTCTCTTTTATTTGTAGGTGGGGTGGTGATGTTTGAGGTCCCCAGTCTTGTCCCCTGGAGAGGGCCTTTGTCTGCAACTTGGGCAAAAGTTCTGGGTTTTCTGAAGAGGTCACAGTCATCGCCCATGCAGAAGTTTTCAGAGAAAACATAATTTGAGGGATATAGACAGGGAGGTGTGAAGGACTTGATTATAACAAACTCCATTTGTTAATTCTGTTTTACATGAGTTTTATTTACTGCCCAACTTACTGGTTTTGCATTGGGGTTGTACTACACATAAAATATTTTAAACAATGAAGGCTGTGTCCACTTTCTAATTTTGAAATAGAAATAGCTCTGAGACTTACTTTTGTAATGTTGTTTCCTTTCTGTTTGCAGAAGTATTGTCAGCCATCATTAGTGTATTGCTGGTCTACATCCTTATGGCATTCCTCTTGTATGAAGCTGTTCAAAGAACCATTCATATGGACTATGAAATAAATGGCGATATCATGCTGATTACAGCAGCCGTTGGTGTTGCAGTTAACCTAATGTAAGATTTCCCTTTCTCTCTGTGTTAACAGAGAGAATATGCTCCTAAATGTATTTCTGAATAAGCTGCTAATTCATGGCCTGTAACTTTCTTACGGGATGTAGTTTTGCTGGACCTCTTAATTTTCATAAATTTTTCATAAAGAAACAATACTTACTTTTTCAGTTCTTTGGTTTAAAAGGAAAGAAAAATAAATGCCCACCAAACCCTAAAGCGTGTTTCTTGGAGTGTTGCTGTTTTTTCTCTTTCAGAATGGGTTTTTTGCTGAATCAATCTGGCCACCTTCACTGCCACTCCCATTCCCACCCTCACTCTCACGTACCTCAGCCGACCTCTCCTACCGCAGCCCACAGCAGTGGCCATGGACACAGCAGCCTTGCTGTGAGAGCAGCGTTTGTCCATGCCCTCGGGGACCTGGTGCAGAGTATTGGTGTGCTCATAGCTGCATACATCATACGCTTTAAGGTAAGGAATGGACAGGCTTTGGAGCAAGGTGGAATTTTTTTAATATCAACTCCAGTGATTAAATTGAAAAGGGACTTAATTTGTTTTGTAAGTTATTAAAAAATGCTTTGTGATACTCTATTATAAGCTTCCTACTTTCATGCAAAACAAGGGAAGACTATATGAAGTATTTTGTAACTATTAAAACAAAAATAAATATTCATGGAAGCTGGAGCTAGAAGTAACTGCATTTTCCGAGTCACATTTTTGTAAGTGAACTTATTTTCATACATCCTTTAACACTGGAACTTCTCTTGCAGCCAGAATACAAGATTGCTGATCCGATATGTACATACGTATTCTCCATACTGGTGGTTTTGACAACAGTTCGAATTCTGTGTGACACAGGATTGATTATTCTGGAAGGTAAGGTCTGTGCACAGCCTGCAGTACTTTACATGTCAAATACCAGTGAGCACTGGCAGGTTTTTTGCCATCGTGATCACCATCTCTAACAAAGTGGCTCGTGTCTGGAGATGAGTTTATCCTGCTGCTGCATTAGTCTGCTGGTTCGTGATGGCTCTTCTAAGTTGCAGCAGTTTTTAGATGTCTTTGATCTCTGCAGCAAAATGCTAAACTAAGTGAGCATTTACCCAGACTCAGTTATGCACTTTGATTACTTGGAAAGTCAAAGTCAATGTGAATGCATCTTAAAGGAGGAAGCAAGCTTAGGCCGAATGACTGGACAGATGTTTCATGCCTCTTCTGTCTTCCCCTTTGCCACAAGTGCTGTTGTATTACTCATGCTCTTCTACTGTTACTGTGGGGAGGGTACAGGTAAAGATTGGTGTAAGAAGGAAGAAGGAAAAGAAAAAGGGGGAAAGAAAAAGCTGAACATAAGCTGAAGAATCTTGTCCATGTGGTGACTTAAGAGGGAATGATGCCAGGAACATTCTTTGCATTATTAGAACTAACATGACAGCTATTACTGCTTGGTCTTTTTACCTTATGAAAGGGAAAAGGTAAGGGATGGTAGAAAAATCCTAGGTTTTATCTACACCTTCCTGTCTCATGTGAGCTATTGACTGACTACTTCTATTATGTTACAAGGTTAAATCAAGGGCCTCAAAATCTTCAGTGTCAAGTGCTTTTGCTGTCAGTTAGCAGAACCCCTCCCCATCCCCAAAATGGAAGTTCACTGAGAAAGCAAAAATGGTGAAATTTGCTTAAGAAACCTTAATTACCTCCAAGGCAGTAGCTAAGATTTAGCTGAAGGAAACAGCTAAACCAACAGTGTACCACATTCCAGGTGTCTGAGTTGAGTATCCCAGTCGTCATAAAAATCTCTGCATTAATAATCTTATTAGAAGTGATGACTGGTGGGCTCTATGTATGCTAGGGAGTTTTCCAACTTAAATTCAGGATCTCGAGAGAATGGACTTGAATTTATGTTGGAGACTACTGCTACGATATCAGGGTCTTTGGAGTTGTGTCAGCTGTCAGTATTCATTTTAACTTAAGTTTCGTCATTATACTAGGAATGCTAAATTAAAAATCTGATACAAGCAGTGACAATCCAGCTTTTTAATGTAGATTTATAAGGCAGCATGGAAGTACATCAATAGCACTGTGTGAGATACCAAAATTTAAGTTCATGTTTCCTGGGAAAAAGAAGACGGTAAGAAATAATACCAGGCAGGTAGCTAGTTAGTGATCAGCTAAATAATTTTCTATGGTCTTCACTAGAAGAAAGGTTTTTTTAATATAAGACAATCCTAGACACTGAACTTTCAAAAGAGATCATACAGGCACTTACATCATTAGAAGACAGTAAGGCATCATGTTCAGAGAGGAGTCATCCAAAAATTCTGGAGGAACTTGCTGAACTCATAGTGCATATAATCAAACTCCATAAAACTGGATGGTAAGCTGTGGTAGAAATGAAACTATTCAGAAACAGAGTTTGTTCAGTATTTTTGTACTAGTTTATGAGCCCACATTGATAACCTAAACTTCTGATTCTGCCCTTTCTACAGCTAAAGGGTCAAGTAGGGAAGCTACAGAGGTGCTGTAGCTGCTGAAAGTCCTACATGCAGAAGAACTTGGTCACTGCAATCATTGATTTGCAGAGATGCCATGCTGTAAGACAGAAGTCGTGTGTGTTAACCACTGCAGATGGATTGCTATGAGCATTTGAAAGTGATACCAGTTACCTGAAGAGAGAAGTTTCAGGAGCGAGGAGGAGACAGACCCTAGCTTTTCTTACTATTATTATTTTTTATTTTAATTTTTATTCTGCCCCTAGAGTCTCGTCTGAGCAGTTATTTGGGGTCAGAAGCTGCAGTAAATTTGTCTACCCAAGTGCATTGCTCTGAAGAATCTAATACAGGCTATCGCCAGAGTGTGGATTGTGGAAAGGACAAATGACATTTGAGATGACACTGCAATTCCTGTACAACCTCTGTATCCATACAGGACGTAATATGCCAACTTGCATATTCTTCTCTGTCGATAACTTAGAAATTGCTACTCGCTGCCATTATAAACTCTTTTGACATTGAGATCTGCCATGACATTTTAAAGGTCGGAGAATTTGCAGAAGGCAGAATTAACTCTCTCTCATGTTTGGTCTCATAGGAGCTCCAAGACATTTAAATATGGATCGCATTAAGGAAGATTTGATGCAAATTGAAGATGTTTATTCTATAGAAGATTTAAATGTTTGGTCTCTCACTGCAGGAAAAACAACTGCCATAGTCCACCTGCAACTAGGTAAGCTGCTGTACAGCATAATTCTAGACTAAATCTAAGTGTAGAAAAAACCCCCTGCTTTATCTTCTTATTTAAGTTGAACCAGAAAATATCACTCTGGTGAAAAACCCTACAAAATCTACTAACTATGGTTTTGTGCAGCACGGTAGAGAACCCATTGGCCCAGGAAGACACAGTGTAAGTGAAAATTGTGCAAAGAAAATCTGTTCATTCTGAAACATCCAGTACAGATTCTTTGGGTAGGGAAAAAAGAAGTTATCCTCAGAAATTCCCTTATTTTGTCCAGGGAGAGGCAGCTTGAAGTTCTAACATGTAATGATCTGACATAGGAAATAATTTACTACTTTCTTGATTTTCCAGTTCCTGGTAGTTCATCTAAGTGGGAGGAGGTTCAGTCCAAGGCCCGACAAGTGCTGCTGAACACGTTTGGGATGTACAAGTGCTCTGTCCAGCTTCAGAGTTACAAACAGGAAATAAGCAAAACCTGCGCAAGTTGTCAGAGTTCCAGTGCCTAATTTAAGATGTTTTGGGAACTGCTGCCTTATTCGTTATCTTGTAGTCAAAGACTGAGAGCAATAAATGCAAACGAAAACGATCAAGTAGAAACCATTACTATGTGGATTTGTACCATGTACCACGCAGCAGGGAGAACTGGTGCTGCAGGAAGAGCAGTGGTTGCCCTACAGAACACGTATTTCACTTTCTCCGTTGTACTGGTTTATTCAGTTTGTTATGATTTTGAGACAAAGCTTTTTTCAGATTATTGTTTACAAACTGCAACGTGGCTCTGCAGATACCTCACAAATTCCAGTCCAATATTGTCCTTTAGTAACTATGTACCACAAAGTACCTGTACTGCAGGTGGAGCATCAAGTATTCAGTATTTCGGTTAACATCTCTGATGCTGATCGTGCCAGGGTTCCATAATACACCACAATCCCTGAATTCATTACACAGTATTTTTGCAATAGTAATTTTCATACAGTATCTTAAACTGTTATGCGTACAGTGCCAGTTGAATCTTTTGGAAACTGTGTCTTTGGAGACACTGCCGAATACAGAATTTACTGTACCCAGATGAGAAAGTTAGCTTTAATCTGGGCATTCAGAGATCCAGACGGGAAGATCCGTGCCCAGACTTCTGGTATTTAACTAGACACCCAACACTGGACCGACCCAAAGTGTTTTAAGCAATCAGTCATCTTTAATGTATTTTCGAATGGGGTTTATACATTAGAAACAGATTATTTATTTTACAAAGTTTTGACTTGTAAGATGAATTTTATTAATAATATCTTGAATGTCTAAACCAACATTTGATTCACATTAAAAGGCCAGTTGACTAGCATGCATTCTAATTAATAAATGTCCTGTAATTTATACTTTTTCCATGATGTTTTTGTTTTAAAAGAAAAATCAAATTATTGACATGGAGATATTCTCAAACACAAATCTACAGACATGCAAAATACATTCATCTTCTAACAGGAAAGTGAGGAGCAGAACTTTTAGGTATGCATTATTCCTGCAGTCACCTCACCTTTTCATCTCTGCTTTGAGCACAGTGTGGCAGTATCTCCACAGGAAT